CAATATGGCACAAAAACTGTGAAATATTTAAGAATGGCTGACATCTTTACCCAGGTATTGTGATTCAGACTTCAAAAGACTGTTTATATGCAGTGTCTTGCATTGTGGATCATGTCGTTCATAAACTCTGATGTAAAATGATGCTGAAATTTGGTAGAAGCCTTGAATAATTTATCATTAGACTAGCTTTGTTTTTGATTTCTGACAAATTGGAGGAAGATATGTATGTTTTAAAAAGCTGCAGATAGTTTTTTAGGTCAGTAAAAATACTCTGTATGAGACAGTGGATACATAACATTATGTGTCAAAACAGAACTGGGCCTCCTCGGTGGCGCAGCCTCTGCTGCGCTGGTTCGATCCCCAGCTGTTCCCTGGCCACCGGAGGAGGGTCCCACATGGCACGCAGACCTCTCCTGCCGCCTGCTGCTCCCCTCAGCAGTGTACTTCGGTCCTTGTGCCTGCTCTGCTCCCCGCTTTGGCTCTGGTGAATTCTCTCACTCTCCCGCGCTTCTGACTGTACCCAGTGCTTGTATAAATAAATAAATCTTACAAAAAAACCCCAAAACATAGAACTGTACAATTCAAAGAGTTGACTCCTTACTTAAACTATGTGCTAAATAATATATCAATCTTAGTTCATCAGAAGTTGCACACTAAGGCAAGAATTCTCTTTACTTTCTGCTCACTTTTTCTGTAAACCTAAAACTGCTCTAAAAACTGAAGTCTATTAAAAACATCTTCAGATTGTGATGAGAAACTCTTGAGTCATTGGACATGTTCTTGTTCTCCATATCAAACATCAGCAGAGGCAAAACCAATCAGTATTGGTGGATTCAGCCCTTCCTTTAAACTTGACCTGTAATATTTTAGTGTAGAGTTAAGTGATGGCTGGTGGCTGTCCCATAAGGATTGAGTTTCAACTGTCCATTCACAGGTCTGGGGAGGGGCTGAGGCCAGCTTTCCCTAGTGAAATAAAATCTTTGTCTTCCAAACTTGAGCAGTGGCAGGAGAATCTTCAGTGATCATGACATCTGTCATGATCCCAGTTCTAGACTTTGGTAATCATTGCTGGACTCATTTTCCAGTCTGATCTGACTTGGACACAGGCCATACCAGAGCAGAATCCAGGCTGTGGTGTTGAACAAAATCTTTGAAGCATTAGCCTTTATCTGCTCTGGATGTCTGGCTTACTTGATTGATCTAGTTATAAGGCTTACTTGGAGAAGCACAGTGTGTCCTCGTGGCCCATAAATATGTGGCAGAGGCCTTCTTTCCTTCTTGTTGGGATTGTCCTTGAATTTGTCTCACTGCCTAAATCTCCCTATCTGAGGTTTGTCTTTTCATAACGTATACCTTGTTCTAGATCTGCTTTTTTTTCCCCAAGGTGAAGACACTTCCAGATGGCCTGTCACATGTTGTGTGGCTTTACCCTTTGTCACCAAAAAGAAAAGGACATCAGAACTAACATCCACCAAAAACAGGAGAAATCAATTCCTTTTAGCACAGCATGGGAAAAAACAAAACCAAAAACAAGGCAGATTAGCATCAGTATGTCTTGAATTGGAACTCTAATTTAGTCTACACAGCTTTTAGGGGTAGGCACTAAGGGTCCTTCAAGGGGAGTTCACTGTCCTAACTTCAAATATGGAAATCATGAATACTAATTAATGAGGTGAACTTGTCATCCTCAAATTGTAGTTTTGTAGAAATAAAAGAAATCTTAAAGATCTATCATTTTCATTCTATATCACTCATTTTCCTAAACAGTATTCAGCATGCACTTTTAGATAGTACATGATTTACCCAAGGTAATGGCTTTGATAGTATTAGTAGAGTAGGGAAGAGAGTCTATCTTCATATGTTCTAATGCAGTGATCTTTTTACCACAGAATGCTGCCTTTTGGAAAAAAGTCATTAGAGCCAGTTAGAACCAAAAATTCCAATCCCCTAATTCTAGTTATAAGGTCTTTATTTCTTTTTTTTTTTAAGATTTATTTATTTATTTTTATATGAGAGCTATGGTACAGGCCAGAGGCGCGGGAGGGTGAGAAGATTCACCAGAGACAGAGTGGGAGCAGAACAGGCAGACGGCCGAAATATACTGCTGAGGGGAGCAGTGGGCAAGACAGGAGAGGTCTGCTGCACCATGTGGGAATCTGCCTGGCTGGCTGGGGATCAAACCCATGCTGCAGAGGCTGTAGACAGCTTCACAGCGCTGCGCTCAACTCACTGCACCACTGGGGAGGCCCTATAAGGTGTTTCTTGTAAGCCATTTTTAACTATAGTTTGAGGTTTTTGTCCCCTTCAGATTAAAATACGTCATTGATATTCTGATAATTTGAGAGTCAGTTTTATGCCCAATTACCTGGAATTTAAAATGACCTTAGAATAAAGGATAATTGTAGTAGGAACTCTGAGAAGACACATGAACTTTTAAATGTTTACATTCATAATTTTAATTCAACTTTTTGAACATGCGAGGTGAGTTGTTTTCTTATATTCTCTGAGGCACCTTTGAAAATATGCTAGAGAGGGGCCTCCCTAGTGGCACAAGGGGGTAAGCACCACACTGAAGCAATCTGCAGCCTCTGCAGCACGAGTTCGATCCCCGGCCGTCCAGGGAGCAACCCACATGGTGCAGCAGACCTCTTCTGTCTCACCCGCTGCTCACCTCAGCAGTGTATTTTGGCCATCTGCCTGTTCTGCTCCCCACTCTGTCTCTGGTGAATCCTCTTACCCTCCCGCATCTCTGGCCTGTACCCCAGCTCTTATATGCCTAAATAAATAAATCTTAAAAAAAAAAAGAAAATATGCTAGAGGCATCAAACTGACTATCAGGAAGCCTCATGAGAGTGTTTCTTGATATGACTGGATTGTCTATCGATTACTACAACTCTTCTCGCACAGATTTTGTTTACAGTTTACTTTCAATTCTGCAGAGACTGGTTATCTACCTTTATCATTATCTTTGTCAGCTGCTGCCTTTATTCTTGTTTTCCTTCTGGTCATCTCATTGTTCTTAAAGATGAAAGGGAATGAAGGAAATGCTGCTGACTTAAATGTTTTAAGATCTTTATGGCAGAGGAGATTGTATTTCTCAATGTAAACTTGCAGGGAAGCACACAAATCATGTAAAATTGTTATTCCAGGCTCTCATTACAATCTCAAGTTATTACTTTTCCTTTCTTAATAACATTTTTTGGAACACAAATACATATTGTTGCAGACAGCTTAGAAAGTACAGACCAGTACAAAGAAGAAAATAAAAATCATCACATGTAATTTTACTAGCAAATGATAATCACTGTTAATATTTTGACTTTTTTTTTTAGTTTAGTATATGTTAGTTTTTTGCTTTTAGTAGTATAAATGAATTAATTTGTAACCTACTTCTTAACATACAAATGCTATTTTTCTCTCATTTAAAAATATTCTGTAGCATCATTTTAATACCTATTAGAATAAATTTAATAACATTAGAAATGTTATTCTATTGTGTGCATGGGCCATGATTTATTTTACCAGTTCTTTATTGAAAGACATTCAACTTGGTTCCCGTTTTTCCTAATAATGCTGTCACTTTATGATAGAAAAATCTGATTCTTGCAAGACTTTTAAGAAAATGTCTAGATACTTAGAAGTGAAAACCTAAGGCAAAGAAAAATTTAAAGAACTACATAGTAAACTAGCGGCATCATGTTAATTTTAAAAAATTTTATTTAATGAACTACCATAGTTTTACCTTCTTAATGTTTTGACAGTATAGGGTTTCTCACCTCAAGTGTGGTTGCCATTGCTCTCCCATTACCAAAGCACCCGTAATGTAAATCTTTTTTTTATTTTTTAAGATTTATTTATTTATGTATATAAGAGCTGGGATACAGAGATGTGTGGGGGGTGAGAGGATTCACCAGAGACAGAGTGAGGAGCAGAACAGGCAGATTGACTGAAGTACACTCTGAGGGGAGCAGTGGGCAAGTCAGGAGAGGTCTGCTGCTCCATGTGGGTAGCTCCCTGGCCGGGGATCGAACTTGTGCTGCAGAGGCTGCAGACAGCTTCATAGGTTGCGTCTTAACTGATTGTGCCACCAGGGAGGCCCCTTTCTACCTTTTTAAAAAATATATATTTCTGCATACAAGAGCTGGAGCTGGGGGGGGGTGGTATAAGAGAGAATTCACGAGAGACAGTGGGGAGCAGAACAGGCGGAGTGACTGAAATACACTGCTGAGCAGTGGGCGAGACAGGAGAGGTCTGCTGTGCCATGTGGGTTAGCTCCCTGGCTAGGGATTGAACTCGTTGCAGTGGCTGTGGATAGCTTCATAGTGCTGGAACTTAACCCCTTGTGCCACCAGGGAGGCCCTGCAGTTTATGTGTTAGAACATAAAAGTTTTCTGTAGGCTTTATTGCATATACCAATTCCATGTTAAATTTTGAATATTTACATCATAACTGGGTATGATCATATTTTTCTTATTTGAATAGAAGAAACACTGGTCTTTCTAGCCATCAGATCATCAGCTGTCCTAGCTAAAGGAAATAGAGCTAATTTTTGTCAAAATCGCCAAAGTAGTTTATGTGACCACCTTTGTGATGCCTTCTACTACCTCTGTCCTGCACTTCGTCAAACAAAAATTAATCAGTACCTTGTGTATACCTCTATGAGGATATTCACTAGACTTCCTTATAATTAAGGTTGCAAATGACTCTTTCCCCCATTAATTATAGATTTTCCAAGGAAAACAGTTTTTATTCATTTTGTATCTGCCTACCTATATTGTGTTAGGATTTGGACAAATATTTGGAAATCAGATACTTTAGTGTTTGATAGGTGTTTATTGAGTTAAATTGAATAAAAATATAGACTTGATTACTTGGAAAATGGTTTCTTAAATAAGGTTTATTAATAATGTCAAATTTTCAGTAGCAAATTCATTTTTATTTGAAATTGAGCAATGTCTTAGTATCTATCCTTTTCCACTAAATTAACATTTCTTTTTTAGGATTTGTTCACACAGATATGACGAAAGACTTGAAAGAAGAACATTTAAAGAAAAATATTCCTCTTGGGAGGTTTGGAGAACCTATTGATGTGGCCCATGCAGTTGTGTTTCTTTTAGAATCACCCTATGTTACAGGACATGTTTTAGTAGTAGATGGGGGATTACAACTCGTGATATAATTTATTGATTATTCAGTTATGATGGTGGTTAGAATCAAGGACTATTGGCTGTTGATTAGATTGATACCTAATGGGTGATGTTAGCTATTAATTTGTCCGATTGATGCTACATGGTGATTTCCATCTCTCTATGAATATATCTGAAAAGAACAGCATGTTTTCTAAATGGTATATACTATATAGAAAATAAGTTTTGGCATATGGGCTTTTTTAAGTCATCTAAACAGGTAGTATGTTTTTCTCAGAAGTGGAAAAATTTATGTAGTCTAATTGTCATGAGTTATTTTATGTATCAGGGTGAGTTCTCTAGAAGTTAATATTGTGGGCTATTGCCAAAATAAGTATTTATAGGGCATTTAGCCACCTTGCAAATGTTAAACTTTGTATTTTGCCTTGCAAATCAGTTTTTAGACGATTGAAAAGAAAGTGTCTGACATTGACATTAGTTTAATTTGGTTTCTTTGAGTGGCGTTACTCTTGATTGAATAACTGGGTAAAATAATCTCATATATGATCTATAGAAATTCTCAAAGGTGATTAACCCTTATCTTAAGATTATACTAAATGGTACAGTAATGAATGACATTGAGCTCATTAACTTAGGAAGTGGAAGTATTTTTTAATTCACAAAGCACCCATTATAGCAAGTTATTTAAGAACAGTCTAAGAAATAATGACATTTTAAAAATGAATAAAAATTATGGTAATGCTAATAATACTTGAACAGTCATGAATGTTAAATATTCACTAACACTGAAACATTTTTACAAGGAACAGATAAAGCATTAAAAGAAATATTTGTCTGATAATAAAGACACAAACTACATGTAAAATATCAGGCGGTATCTATTTAGCATTGAACTCTTTTGTAGGGACCAGTATAATATTTTAAATGTTACTGGATTCATATTGATTTTTATTTTTCATTTAAAAGTATTTTTAATATTTGTCTCATTTTAAAAAGTAATCTTTTTAAAGTTTTATCAGAACTGAATTTAATTTTATGAAAATAGATTTGATTTTATATTGGAAGCCATGAATATACTGAAAATACAAAATTATTAAAATAATAAAAATAAAGTTAAATCTATGTTCTAAATCAAGATTTCTGATTCATTGAAAATTACCTAAAATTAATCTTCACATAGTCATAGAAAAATTTAAGTTATTTAAGTGTATGTAAAATATGTATTAATCAAGTGTCTGCTAAATGTAAGCATGGTAGTATATGGAATTTATTAGGCATTAACAATTCATGCACATACAGGAAATGTGGCCATCAGTGTATCTTCAAATGTCGTTGATGCTTCTATACTAGGAGACTGTATGCAGAGTAGGCCCTTTTCCTAATAGTGCTGCCTCACCTTTAGGCCTTTGCTGCTTACATCCTTCTCAGACTTGAGCTCCCTTCTCTGTATATCTCATGTTCTGAAATCATCAATGAGACTGATTTGATTGGTGGTCATTAGAAGGAAAGAAAAATGTACTACACTAAGATGTAGGTTATATTAAGATGTATATAGATTACAGATAGGTTTAACCTTTACGTCTGTATATTTGTACTGTAAGAAGTGTAACTTTTTAAACTGTTCCAACTCCTTCCCTATCCCATATCAAACAGTAGAACATGGGGAGAGATCTTGAAAGAGGTAAAACAAGCCTTCACTGTCCCATTATAGGTGAATTCTCCATCATCTTCTACTAACCTGCTAGAAATTGTAGTTTAATTCTTGTACCATATTGTTGAAGTCACTTGCCAGCTGTTGCTTATGTTCAGGGTTCAAAAACCTCAGTGAAGTAACAAGAAAACTTATTTGTTGCTGTTATCTGACACTTAGGAGCCAGAAATCCAGCCTGTGTTTAGCACTTTTTAAAAAATGGCTTATGGTTATAGCCATTGTATTAAAAAATTGTGTTCCTTTTCATGCTTTTGTTCACATTCAGCTTCTGAGAGGGTTTTCAGCTGTTTCTAGAGATAGAGTTGTGTGTTATAAATTACTTTGGGAACAAAATTTGTCCAAAGAGGATCATTTAATTTATATGCTTCTGTTGTCTAGAATAAAGGGGAAAAAAATCTGGATATTCACGAGTTGGGCTTCACATTGCTGACACATTTTTTTTCCTAGTTTGTAAAATGAAAATATGTGTAAGCTGAGAAATCATACCACTCTCCTAGTTTGACACAGTATACGTAATGTAATAATTTAAAGGTGTTATTTATGTTAATTTCATCTTTTAAGATACTAGTTATATTAAATTCATCTCTATATAAATTCAATATTACCCCAATCAAAATACCACCAGTTTTTTAGTATAGAAATTGATAAACTGATTTTAATATTTTTTAAATTTAAAAAAATATATAATTCTTACATCATTTTTCATTTTTGCACAATGTATGCATTTTCATTTTGGTTATATTCCCCAATTGCACCCCTCCTTATTTTGACCCTAATCCTTCCTCTCCACCCTGTAGTGTGTCTCTGTTTGCTTATTGATGTTGATTTTTACTTTGTATTAATTAGTCTTTTTCCTGGTCCCTTATTTAGGTTTTCTAAATTCCTGCTATCAGTGAGATCATCCGGTATTTTTCTTTTTCTTTCTGACTTATTTCGCTGAGCATGATCCCTTCCAGCTCCGTCCACGTTGCTGCAAACTGCATGTGTTTATCTTTCTTGATTGCTGAGTAATATTCCATTGTGTATATGTACCACATCTTCTTGATCCAGTCATCTGTTTTTGGGCATTTGGGTTGTTTCCAAAGCTTAGCTATTGTAAATAGTGCTGCTATGAACATAGGGGTGCAGGTGCCCTTTGGAATTAATGTTGATTTTAATATTTATGGAAGTCAAAGCAATTTTATATAAGGAGAACAAAAAAATTACTATAATGCTATATTAATCAAGACAGTATGTTATTGGTGAAAGGGTAGACTTATAGGTCAGTTAGAATAGAACCTATCCATGACGCCTCTTAAGAATGGTTAATAGATTTTTGATAAAGTTGCCCAAGCCATTCAGTGAAGAAAGGAAATGCATTTAGCAAATGGTGCTGGAACAACTGTACAATCATATAGAAAATTACCCATGATTCCTCCTTCATACCATACATAAGTTAATTTGAAATGCATAAGACATAAATATAAAAAGTGAAATTGTAAAATTTCTAGACGAAAATTTAGAGAAAACAAATTTTGTGACCTTGAGGTAGGCAGGCAAAGATTACTTAGAGCACAAGAGGCAGAATCATTCTGAGAATACTTGGTAAACTGGGTTTTATCAAAATTAAGAACTTTTAATCTTTGGAAGACAATATTAGGAAAATGAAAAGGCAAGTCATGGACTAGATAAAGTGTGTGTATGCATTTCAAAAGAACTTGTTTCCAGAATATAACAAACTTAAAACTGATAAATCAATCAAATAGAAAATGGCCAAAAGATTTTATTAGACACTTCACAAAAGACCCATGATGATCCTAAACACATGGAAAAATCATCAGTAGTAATTAGGGAGATCCAAATTAAAACCACAATGAGATATTACTATATACTCCCTAAAATGGATAAAATAAAAGACTCCAGTACCAATTTTTGAGAATTTGAGACAGCCAGCCAGAACTCTCATGTGCTGCTAATGAGAATATATAATGCTAAAAAAAAAAAAAAAAAATCCACAAACTCCTTGAGAAACTGTTTAGTAGTATCTTAAAAAGTTAAACATCTGTAATTCAACTCAGCTATAAATTGAGTTAAAGAAGTCAGATATTTCTAGTTAATCAAAGTGCTGGAAAATGCAAACTGATACAAATGGCAGAAAGCCTATGAGTATTGGCTGGGCCTGGGGGTGAATGAAAGGACCACAGATTGGCATGAGAAGACTTTCAGGAGTGGAGAACAGCTTGATCTGATCTTGGCGGCGGTTTCATGGGTACATATGTTTTTGATATTAATCTAGTTATATACTTTGAATGGATTACACCTCAGTAAAGATCAGAGGGCATGGGAAGATGATAGTGGTAAGGGTAAATAAGTGAATTTTGGATCAGAATATAGCCTGAAGCATAGCATTTGGCAAAAAAAAAAGAAAGAAAAATTCTATCTGTACAATGTCTTTATAGTTTTGTAGTATTCATATATGTCATCTAATTGGACATTTGGCAGAGCAATCAAAATATTTAGTCTTTTAATTAGAAACCTCTAAATTGTGTTCAGCAGTAAATGTAATCACTCTAAGTCTAAATGTTTATTACTAGTTTAGTAATAGTTTCTTCCTTTGATAGCTTTTGGGTGATATAGTCCTCAAATGAATGGTTTTGATATGATGTTCAGTGGCAATTTCTTTGTGGGAGTGATAGAAATCTGTGCATTATCTGTAAATTAATTTAGGTAACCAACATTTATGTAAACATATGTGGTTGTATTTGAAATCAATACCTACCGTGCTTGCCAGGGATGATACAGGAATGTTGTCTATGTATATTTTACTGGAATTTTGAGTGACCCTTTAACTTCTGAGGCACTGAAGAGTGATTATTTCACCAATTTTTAGTGCTTTTTCATCAACTTTCAAGCCTGGTCCCAATAGAGAGTTTCACAGCTTTTACGATGAGGTTAGTAGAAAAATAGAGCCTCTGGATCCAGAAAGTCCTAGTTCCAACTTCTGACTCTGTTTGATTGTGATTTTAGCAAATTGCATCTTCCCTTTGAGCCTATACATGAGAGTAATAATTCCTAGAATTACTGTAAGATTGAATATTATTAACATACTGGTACATGGTAGATGCTCAGTAAATGGTATTTCCATTTCCATTTCTATTGTGTGTATCTGGTGTCCTTTCACTGCTGGAAGCATATTTTATACTCCAGTGTTTCATGTATTTTTTTTTTCATGTATTTACTTTTTGAGCCTTAATTTTGAAGTCCTATTTTCAAATTTATTCATCTTGATCTGAAACATATGGGTTTGGAGCAGTATAATTTCTGGTTTATTTACATGATGTTAAGCCTAGATTTGTATCTCAGCTTATTTCAGAGAGTGAAAGCAGTGCTGTTGTGTAGATTGTGTTATTTGCATCAATACAGTTTACTCCCCTTAGTTAAGGGATCAGTTAGCAGTAAATATTTGTACCCTCGGGCCATTAGGGATCTGAC